GGGGGTCAGCCGCTTCTGTCTGCTGGCAGCGTGGACCTTCGTGGCTGAGACCCCAGCCACCCTCTTGTCAGCATCCCCAGGCTCCCTCTCTCATCGCCCCAGGCAGCTAGGCACCGGGGGTACCCCACCTGGGCATGGGGTCTGGCCCGCACAGATTCAAGGTCTCCATGTGACAGAATATTCCACAATTCATCCACAACCCGACCCTCTTTCCCTACCCAGCGCGCCCCCACCCGCGCTGCCTTGTTCCTCAGTGGACGCAGCCCTGGGTGCGTCTCCCCTCCCTCAGGTGAAACAGAGTCAAAGGCGGAACCAGATGGAGGGGAGGGGAAGGGGGCACTTGATGCATCGGGAGCAACAGTGACAGAGTTAGGGTTCTTCTCGCAGGTGCAGCGGGTCTCCCTGTCCCCAGGTGCCCACCGGGGGCTGGCATGACTGGTGTAGGCGCAGACACAGTGGTTTGGGGAGTGCCCAACGAGAAACTAATTTGAAACATTAATTTTCAATCGAAGTTACATCCAATATTATTTTGTACCAGTTACAGGCGGACAGCCCAGCAGTAGACAATCATGTCCATACAGATATTTCCACCTGGCACCACACCCAGTGATTCCCATAGCATTGACTTCCCTCTGCGGTAACGTCGTCTCTGACTCTTCTGTAACTTCAGCTTGTACTTGTTAATCCCTTCACCCTTTCACCCAAGAGAGGCTTAAATCGTATGTAGGGGAGGCTCAAGAAGTAACAGAAGGAAGGTCCCATCAAACTAGAGAGCTCAGCAGCTCAGTTCTCCCTCAGCACCACCTCCTGCTCCTCTCGTCCCTCCCAGCCGCCCATGTGCTCATCCCCATGGATTGCTGTTCCCTAAGGTGCTGTCGGCCCCTCCCTGCTGCGGGCCGTGCACTCACCTGCCCTGGGCAGTGAGCCGCCATCTACTGTATGTGCTGCTGCCCAGTGTGTGGCCGAGCACCCACCTGCCTGCGCCTCCGCCTGGACAGCCGAGCCCATCTCAGCTGCGGGGAGGTCCTCCTCCTACAGACTGGGCTTCCTCACTCTGTCCTCTGGCTCAGAGGATGGCAGCCACTCGTCTCTAGAATCAGAGATGGGGAGGGGGTCATTCTGGACTCGGCCGTGTCCCCAAGTCCCCCCTCTGCTCACCACGTCGGTTCTCACACCCCGTCTTCACTCAGACTCCGCATTTCTTGCCTGGTTTCTGCAGCGCCTCTGGTGGGGCCTGGCTGCCCTCAGTCTTGTCACCTTCCTCCTGTTCTCTTCGCTGCCTTCACAAGACCGGCGGCCCACGTCCCATCTTCACTGGCCTCCTTCTCCCGGAGTCTGCCCCCTGGCCTTCCTTTCTTGCCATCACAGGCCTTGCCCGTTATCCTCCAGAGCTGGGGCCTGCACCACGGTGTTGCCTGTGTAAGGAATGTCATCGTCACTTCTCATCCGTGGCTTACCTTCTCTTTAAGACCTGCCACAATGACCCCTCTTGCCAGAGCCTCTCTGTCCACTGCTTCTTCGGGGCTCCCCTGACATCTGTGGCCTCGTCCCTGCATCGACCTCCTCGGGTGATTGTGTTTACTTGTTTCCCCTGCTGGCCGCGTGGCCCTCGAGGGCAAGTGCTGCGTGTACCTGCCTGATGACCTGTGTCCTACAGCTCGGGGCTCCGGGCTGGGAACGAGTGGGAGATGAGAAATATTGGTGAATGAATGAATGAACTCATTCATGAAGACGCCCCTCTTCGCTCTCTTCATCTCTGCCCCTTTTCTCCAGGTGACAGAGAAGACACCAAATCAGGTGGGTAGGCTGAGCCCTGCTGCAGGAGAGCCTCAGCTCCTGGGGGCCGGGGGAGGTTCTGAAGAGGGTCACCCGTGGCTAGTGTTTCTGGGCCTGAAGGAAGCAGGCACGTAGCGGGAGGGGCCTGCTTTCCAAAGGCCAGCCTGTGCTGCCGGGGACACCCAGACCTGCCGGTGGGAGGAAAGAGCGTTCCTGTGGGACGCAGAGCCTCTGCCTCCAGCCCAGGCTGCATCCGACCAGGGGAGGTGCCCCTCTTCTACACAGAAACCTCCTGGTTCCAACGGTTCCTTTCACATAAGGAGCCTCGGGGCCCCTGGCAGTGCCGCAGAACCAGCTCTTCTGGGTCTCCCTGCCTTTTCCTGATGCTTCAAGGGTGGAGGCTGGTGTATCCTGCTTGTTCATGGGCCCCTATTGTCCTGACTTGTCCTGAATTATTTGATTGACTGATTAAGTTATTCCTGTGTATGTCCGTGCTCCACTCCTATTCCCTCTCTTTACTCTCCAACCTTTTTAAAATATATATATTTTTACTGATTTCAGAGAGGAACAGAGAGAGAGAGAGAAACATCAGTGATGAGAGAGAATCATTGATTGGCTGCCTCCTGCATGCCTCTTACTGGGGATCGAACCCGCAACCTGGGCATGTGCCTTTGTCCGGAATTGAACCTGGGACCCTTCAGTCCACAGGCCGATGCTCTATCCACTGAGCCAAACCAGCTAGGGCATTTGTGTACTTTTTGTGTGTATATATAATCCTTCAACAACTTACTCTCACAGTCAGTGACATTTCTCTACCCAGCACACCCAACAGAAAATACATTCTCCGTGTACCCCTGTGCTGTCGCTATCTCGATGCGTTTCATCTCTGTCACTGTCATTTTCTGCCGGGCTCAGCGCTGTGAGCGGCCACTGCCCTTCTCTCCTGTCTCTGAAATGGGAACAAGCCCTGGGTTCACGGACTGGTGCACATGCCCCGGGGCATCTTGGTCGCGGTCCTTCCGATCCTCCTCTGGGTGGTCACTGCATCTCCTCGGCATCTTGTTCCTAAAGTTTGTGGCAAGCCCTGGTGGCCGGAGGACAAGGACGTGAGCCGCCACTGGCCCTGGGAGGTGAGCCTCCGCGTGGAAGATGAGCACGTGTGTGGAGGGGCCCTCATTGGCCACAAATGGGTGGTGACCGCTGCCCACTGCATCAAAGGGTGAGTGCGGCCACGCGCCGGGGGCCTGGAGACCCGGGGCTGCAACAGGCCCTGTGTGGCGTTCTCGCTTCCTCTGAAGCAACATGAGTCTGGAGGTAGGGGGCTTGGGAAGGGGTGCCCAGACAGGGGGACCTCACAGGGAGCCAGAACTGAGCTGGGACAGGAGCCCCAAGCAACGAAGACCGTGTGCTAAGTAGGGCAACAAACTCAGTATGGCACCCCACTCCTAATGCATGAAAACATACATGTAGACCAACCTCTGTACACACCACACAGAGGCCAGGCCACCTTGAATCAACTTGAATGATGGATGCGGAGGCAGCCAGATCTCTGGCCCCAAGGGCCTCCAGGCTGGATCCGCAGGACGCCTGCTAAGGGAGGGGTCCTGGGTGGAGGTAGGAGCAGGGTGCCCTGGGGACCCTGACACCTACTAGGTGGGGCTCTGTGTCCCCTGTAGCACCAAAGAGTACTCCGTGACTCTCGGCACCGCTCAGCTGAAGCCCGCGAACCCCAGGAGGGCCGTCTCGATCCAGGTGAAGGACATCATCATGCACCCCAAGTTCTGGGGCCGGACCTTCACCATAGGCGACGTCGCCCTCCTGCAGTTGCACACTCCCGTCGTCTTCAGCAAGTACGTGCAGCCCATCTGCCTCCCGGAGCCCACCTTCGACCTGAAGGTGGGGATGCAGTGCTGGGTGACCGGCTGGAGCCAGGCCAAGCTGCGCTACTCAGGTGAGCAGGAGGGGGTTGGGGTTGGGGGTCCCACAGAGGCTGCAGCAGTTCCTCCTGGGGCCTTGCCTGCTGGGCCCCCTCACAGGGCATCTCAGGGAACTCATGGCCGTGACCTCCGGCCCCTGGTCCTTAATGTGTTAAGACTGCTTCTCACGTGGGCACTGCTGCCCATTGCCGTGGGCCCGCAGTCAGGCCCAGCCTATCAGAAGCTCAGAGTCAGGGAGTCACACATGCGCTCACTCATGTGTTCACTTGACGAACTTCAAGCATCTGCCACACGCTGAGCCTTGGCACTGGGAGCACATGCCCTGCCCCAGGGAGCTCACCTGAGTGGAGGGTGACAGGGAAAGACTTGTTAGGTGATCATTTATGAAAAAGGATTTTAAAAATATATTTTTGTGTTGATTTCAGAGAGAGGAAGGGAGAGGGAGAGAGAGAAACATCCATGATGAGAGAGAATCATTGATCGGCTGCCTCCTGCACGCCCCACACTGGGGATTGAGCCTGCAACCCAGGCACGTGCCCTGCTGGGAATTGAACCCTGACCTCCTGGTTCAAGGTCCACGCTAAACTCCTGAGCCCCACCTGCCGGGCTTGTCAGGTGATGTTGAGCTCCAGCTGAGAGGGGTGTGGGGTGAGCTCTGGGCCGAGGTCTGCCTGAGCTGCCTGTAGGAGGAGTGAGCTTCATTCAGGTGGCGAGGGCACAGCCGGGGCCGGGCTCAGGCTGGAGAGCAGCAGCATGTGGCTGGCTCTCAGCTTGTCCCTGTGACTTGGATTGCACCTGCTTGGTGCAGAAACCAAAGCTTCCCAGAGAAACAGGGGCTTGCCAGACCTGGTCCTCTTGGCAGGGGGAGGGCCAGGAAAGGAGGGCGTGGAAGTGCTAAGGGGTGGGCGGGCTGAGTCCCCAGGATGGAGGTGACAGGACCCTGGGAAATGGCCAGGGTTGGGTGGAGTGAGGGGTTAATCCTCGCCCTACTGGGCTCTCCGGCAGCCAACTCCACGCTGACCCCCGAGCTGCAGGAGGCGGAGGTGTTTATCATGGACAACAAGAGGTGTGACCAGATTTACCGGAAAGAGTCCCCCATCCCCCACATCCTCCCCCTTGTCTTGGGGGACATGATCTGTGCCACCAATTACGGAGAAAACCTGTGCAATGTGAGTTTGGGAAGGTTCTGGGGGCTCTCCTGCTGGGAAGGACTCCCCGGGGAGGGGAAGGTCCGGGGAGGGGTTAGCTTGGCCTCCCTCTGTCACCATCCCTAGGCAGTGCTCTGCTTCCATCCCTCTTCCCCTGTGACTTTGATTTGCCTAATATTCTGGGGCAGGTCCCCAACTCTGGCGCTGAAGCAGGACCCTGGGGAGTGAGATCCTGAAGGAGCGAAAGGATCTTCCAAGTGGAACTCTGAGTGGGCGTTCTGGGTCCCCTGATTCCTGGTCCCAGGTGCGCCCAGAGCCTCCCTCACGCCTCTCTCTTTGCCTAGGGGGACCCTGGGGGCCCATTGGCTTGCGAAGTGGAGGACAGGTGGATTCTGGCTGGGGTGATGTCCTGGGAAAAGGCTTGTGCCAAAGCACAGAACCCAGGTGTGTACACACGCGTCACCAAATACAGCAAATGGATCAAGAACCAAATGAGCAACAGGGCTCTCTCAGGCCCCTGCACCTCCGTCTGGCTCCTTCTCCTGACCTGGCTGCTGCCTCTCCGGATGGGCCCCTGATCTCCCCCCTCCAGAATGGGGCCAGATCAAGGTTAGACCAAGGTCATGTGTCCCTATTCAACAAGAGTCAAGGTGGGGACAGAGTGGCCCCTGGGAGGCCTGGTCCTGCCTGGGCATCCCATAGGGAGGGATGTGGTGGATGACAAGGCCTTGGCTGACCAGGAGAAGGGGCATGTGGCCTTGAGGGCTCTGGAATTGGGGCCCAGAACAGCAGGGATTAAATTTGTGCAAATGTAAGCTGGTTCTGTTCTCTTTTCTCGGTGGCCCTGGTTGTTAGGGGTGGGTGGGTGGGAGGGCAGGGTCTCCTGGAATTAACTCTACCAGGTGGGCTGATGTTTTTTGCTATATCACTAGTGCTGGGGCACAGGGAAAGGGCTTGAGGCCTCCGTTTTCTCATCTGTGAAGTGGGCATGCTGTAAGGGAGCACTCCCCGTAGGCTGACAATAGGAAGGTCCTACATACAATGCTCCAAGTCAGCTTTTACTTTTCTAAAAACAATATATTTTTATTGATTTCAGAGAGGAAGAGAAAGGAAGAGAGAGATAGAAACATCAATGATGAGAGAGAATCATGGACCAACTGCCTCCTGCACACCCCACACTGGGGATCGAGCCTGCAACCTGGGCATGTGCCCTGACCGGGAATTGAACCCTGACCTCCTGGTTTGACACTCAATCACTGAGCCACGCCGGCTGGGAAGCTTTTACTTTTTTTTAGTGGCATTTTAACATACTAATTACAAAAGTATTATGTGTTCATGGCTACATTTTTCTTTACATTAAAAACTATAATAGCTGAATATGAATATAATAGCTGAATATGTGATTTACTTTAAGAATTCAGAAATACATGTAAAGATTCCTCCTCTCATCTACCCCACCACAGTGCTGCTCCCTTACCCAGAAGTAATCATCGGTAGCATCCTTAAATAATGTATCTTTATGATTTTAAATATATGTATTATTCACAGCCTACATTAAAAAAATAGATGCCTTAAAAGCCATGTCAATATCTAGAGCGATCACTTCCTGGGTCTGTGCGATGTAGCGGAGGTTATTTAACCCACACCTGTTTTGTTTTGTCTTAAAAATATTTTTTTGTTGATTTCAGAGAGGAATGGAGAGGGAGAGAGAGAGATAGAAACATCAATGATGAGAGAGAATCATTGGCCAGCTGCCTCCTGCACACCCCACACTGGGGATCGAGCCCGCAACCCGGGCCTGTGCCCTGACTGGGAATTGAACTGTGACCTCCTGGTTCATAAGTCGATGCTCAGCCACTGAGCCACGCTGGCTGGGCCCGCACTCATTTTTAGGCTGTTTCTGACTTGTCAGCATTGGGGCAGCCACGAACACCCTCCTGCGTGCATGGGGGGTGGGGGCAGTCTAAGGAAACACAAAGGTAATCATTTTGGATGAATACTATCAAATTCATCCCTTCCCCAAACTGAGTCAGTGTGCGTGTGCACATACAGTACAGGAGAATGGGTTTCCCCTTTTGCTAAAGGTGGGTATCATTCATCTTCAAAACCTGTGTCCATCCAATGGTACAAAGTTATAGCATTGTGCTTTTTTTTAAAAGTGTTTTCTCATGTGTTTATTGAGAAACACATGCACCTTTTCTCTAGTAAATCCTCTGTTCAATACTGTCAACAATAAAATAAAAAGTAAAAATTTAAATCCTCTCTTCACAGACTTTGCCAATTTTAAAAATTGGGTGGCTTATCTTTTCTGATGGAAGGTCTTTATCTTCTCTGAATATTAAGGCTTTGTTGATTTTTACAAATATTTTTTTTGAAATATGTGGAATGGATGGGTAATTTTTCCATAAAGACTTTAAAAATTATTACAGAGTCGAATCAGTCTTTGCAAGTTTTGTGCCTTACTTCAGATGGCCTTCTCCATCTCCAGATGACAAAAGCTATCTTCCTGACTTTTTTAACATTTTGATAAATTTATTTTTTATGTGTAACTCTGTAATCCATTTGACATTTCTATTTATGTATGGTGTGAGGTGGGGATATGTTTGGTGTGAGGTGGAGAATCTAACTATTTCCAACTGGAGGACTGACTCCGTTGACACTATATTTTGTAGAGTCCTACTGATTTGAAGGTCATTTGGTTGCTTAGGCTTTTATATATATAGCCTATTTGAATGTTTATCCTAATGAAATCTCAGTGTATTCATGGGTATGTTTTTAAAATATTTATTATTTGCTCACTGATCTGTCTGTCCCTGGGTTAGTGCTGTACTGTTTCAATCTGCTTTATGTATGTTTTGTTAAACTGTAGCAAAAGCTCTTCTCTTCTTTAAAAAAAAAAAAAAGCCTAAATCCAGATTTTGGTCTATTTCTTAGAGCTTTACAAAAAGTCATCTGGTGTACTTTTGTAGGTTAGCTTTTTGGTATCTGTCTTTCCCACATATATTAACCCAGTTCCTGGTCAGCAGTCCACACTCTGTGCCCTGCTGCTCATGTCCTTAGGGGGAAGCAGTCACATGCTCAGCTCTCAGGAGGGACAGCATTGAGCGTCTTCCCCCTGGTGGTCAGTGCACATCATAGCAACTGGTCAACCAGTTGTTCGGTCATTTGGTTGCTTAGGCTTGTATATATATATAGATAATCTGCTGATTTTTGAGAGGTTTACCACAGGAATTAAGACATTATCTATTTCTTCTTGCAGTTATAATTCTTCCTTTATGTTTCAAAGCTGTGTTGTTAATAGTGCAAGGTTCATGCATACTGTAACATCTCAGTGGGGCATATACCCTATCAATGTAAAATGGTCCTATTTAATATTTGTTCTTTTTCAACAATCTGGCTCATATCATAGAGTTCATTTCTAATTCTACTGTTCTAGTTGATTGGGGTATAATTTTATATTTTGTACATGTTTCCTACAGATTTTCCTTGGGTTTATTTTTCACCTTTTATAGTTTCTTGATTTGAACATTTAATTAATTTATTTTCATTATTTCAAATTTCAAGTAATTTGGTTTATTTGCTTTGTCTTTTGTTATTAAATCCCTGCTTCATTGCATCATGGTAAGAAATGTGGGCCAAGAGACTTCTACTCGTAGGGAAGTTACTGTGGTTTCCTTAGTACTCAAGTGTGCGGTTGATTTTTATAGATATTTCATTCCCCAAAGACAAGAGTTGAAGACTCTCCCACTGCAAGTGAGGGTTTGGTTTCTTGTGCAGCGCTGGCTGGCTTTGCTTCATTTGTTAGATGTCATGTTATTGATGAACAGAACTTTATGATGTTATATAGTCATTGGAACTTTTATCTCTTTCCAACATAAAATGACTTTCTTTTTCTGGTTAGAGATTAACATTGCCATTTCTATTTTTGCTTGTGTAGACATAATATTTTGTGCCCATCTTTTTACTTTCAACAGCTTCATGTCACTTTGTTTTAGGTGGGTCTTTAATAAGTAGCATGTGATTGGGTTTTTTTTCTACCCAATATAAGAATCTTTGCCAAAACCGGTTTGGCTCAGTGGATAGAGCGTCGGCCTGCGGACTCAAAGGTCCCAGGTTCGATTCCGGTCAAGGGCATGTACCTGGGTTGCGGGCACATCCCCAGTGGGAGGTGTGCAGGAGGCGGCTGATCGATGTTTCTCTCTCATCGATGTTTCTAACTCTCTATCTCTCTCCCTTCCTCTCTGTAAAAAAAATCAATAAAATATATTTTTTAAAAAAAGAAAAGAATCTTTGACTTCGAGAGTTCTTTTGTATTCACCTTGGTGGTGGTAATGAATATGCATTTTTATGCAATTACCTTGTGTGGGTTTTTCTGATTGTTTCCCCTCAAAGTATTTCCCTCCTCCCTACGCCGCCCCCCCCTCCCCGTTTCCTCTCAAAGAGGAAATTTGATTGTAGGAATAATCATTTCCTTCCTTCTCTACCAGGTTTCCCTAAAAATAGTTGGTTTTGCCTGTTTTTGAATTTCATACAATATGGGCCTTATGGTGTCTGGCTTCTTTCACTTGAAACTATGTTTATGAGCTTCATGTGTTGCTGCATGTCCATTGCCCTGGCTGTTGAGGACTCTGCCTCCATCCTGCCCTGAGGACACTGCCCGACAGCACTGCCTGTCCTTCCCGCTGCCCGTGTCCATGGCGCACACGGGGATGGAGCTGCAGCTGTGGGAGGCACACGTCTGCTCTCCTACCTGATTCTGAACTTCTATGGTGGCCCCAGCCCATTCCCCCGCAGTGTGGGCAGCACTGGGGATGGGGTGGGCAGTGTGAGGAGCGTGGGATCCTGGGAGGGGCCTCCGTGGAGTGTGGGGGAAGGCGCCCAGAGATGTCATTTCTTCTGTGGACTCATGAAGACCCAGGTGTGCACGCTGCTTCCTCTCAGGAAGCCACCTGCCCGGGGCCCAACGCGCCTGGCCTCCCTCCACCCAGCAGTTGTTCTCCTGAAAATGCAGAGCCGGGGAGAAAGGAAACCTCTAGATCCAGCTCAGCCACCCGCAGCAGGAGTGAGCCGTCCCCTTCTCCACGCCTCACTTCTGGGGGGGTGGGTGTCTTGAAGGCGCTGGGACTGGGCACGAGGGGTGCCTTATAGACCAGGCACCATTACAAGCCAGATACCTGGTGCTGTCACAGGCTCGGGATGGGCACGTGAGGGTACTGTCAGGGCCCAGGCTGAGCCCGGGAGGCCCCGTCACAGGCCAGACGCCAGCACTGCCCCAGGCTCAGGTCAGGCCCAGGAGCACCGTTCTAGGGAGGCACCTGGCAGTAGTGTCATATCGTGCCTGGGTGGGGCCTCGCCAAGACCACACCGGCTCCTTTTATGTGAGCATCCTGATGCTGCCCCAGCTGGGGGAGCCCCAGCCTTGGAGCAGAGGCCCCCCTGACTACCCTGAGTAAACAAACCATGAGTTCTAGAATCCTGCACGTTGGAGATGCCTGTCCCCATATCCACGATGGGGACCAGCGGCGCCGGGCACCAGCTGTCCATGGCGTGCGGGCTGGGAGACCTTCACGGCCTCTCATCTCCATTATCTTTTGCCAGAATTGGGAACCCACTCATTGTGGAAGGTAGGGCTTTGGGGACATGGCACAGGGGCAGGAAGGAGGGCTTCAGGGACATGAGACGGGGCAGGAGGGATCTGTGTGCCTGGGTGTCTGTGTTGGCTGTCCTCACGCCCGATGGATGCATCTTCAGCAGACTGCATGGTGTGCCACACCTGGGGACCCAGGTAGTGTCCAGTTTGCAGGGTGACATGGACACGAGGGAAGAGCCTTATTAAAAATTGGGGGATGCCCTAGCCGGTTTGACTCAATGGACAGAGTGTCAGCCTGCGGACTGAAGAGGCCTGGGTTTGATTCCCAGTCAGGGCACATGCATGGGTTGCAGGCTCGATCCCCAGCAGGGGGCATGCAGGAGGCAGCCAATCAATGATCCTCTCTCATCATTGATGTTTCTATCTCTCCTCCCTCTCCCTTCCTTCTGAAATCAATAAAAATATTTTTTTATTATGGGGGGAAAAAAGAGGAACAAATGTAATAATCTGAACAATAAAGATTTAATTAAAAAAATAATAAAAAAATATTTTTAAAAAATAAAAATAAAAATTGGGGGACAAGCTACCATCCGTGGAGCAGATGAGCTTGTCTGGGAGGTGCACTCTAGGTTTGTGATGACGCGGTGTGTGAATGACTGCTCACCTACAGAAGGCCCTCATCTGAGGCTGACGTCACACCACCTGGGGAGGTGGGCTTACCAGTACTCCCACCTCACCATCGGAAACCAGGGCCCAGAGAACTTCAGGGACCTGTGGAGCCAGCATCCAATACCAGTTTTCCAGTAGACTCTTTTTTAAAAATGTATTTTATTTTATTGATTTTTAGAGAGAGAGGGGAAGAGAGAGATAGAAACATCAGTGATGAGAGAAACATCAATCTGCTGCCTCCTGCATGCCCCATGCTGGGGATCGAGCCCGCAACCTGGGCTTGTGCCCTGACCGGGAATCGAACTGTGAACTCCCAGTTCATAGGTCAACGCTCAACCACTGAGCCACACCAGCCGGGTTTTCAGTAGACTCTTTGGGGGTGAAAAGTTTGGGGTCCCACGTGACAGAAGGTCTCTGGGCGCCCACCCACACTGACCACGTGTGTTCTTGTGGGGCAGCCCTGGCTTGGGTCATCTGGCAGCTCCTGTGTGCGTGTGGCAGTGGCTCCTTGTGACGGCCCAAGGCGGCTCCCCTGCCTCTACAGCCGAGGGCTGCCTTGCCGCTGTCTACACGGGCCGGGCCGGCGTGGCCCCTTCTCTGTCTCTTTCCTCAGAGCCCTGGTTCTGGGGCTGTGGTCAGACCAACCTGTCCTGCAAGATGGTGAAGGGGAAGCTGGTGGAGGCAGGCAAGTGGCCCTGGCAGGTGAGCATCCTGTTCCTGGGCATGTACATCTGCAGTGGCTCCGTCATCCACCACCAGTGGGTCCTCACGGCCGCGCACTGCCTGGAGAGGTCAGTCGGGGGCGGCCGGTCCGGGGGGGCCCTGGTGAGGCTGGGGTTCTGGGAGTCGCAGGGTTACTGCTGGAGATCCGCCTCCTACCCATGGCCCTGCAGGTCCCTGGATGCCAGCAAATACTCGGTGATTGTGGGAGTCCAGCACCTCCCAGCAAATGGCACTCAGCTCCCACTCATTCGACTGGTGACTCACGAGAATTTCAAGGACCTCATCTCCTATGACATTGCCCTCCTGAAGCTCAAGGACCCCATCCTCTGGTCCCCCCTTGTCCAGCCCATCTGCCTCCCGACCACCAAGCTCGTGCCACCTATTGGAGCCTCATGCTGGGCCATTGTGTGGGGACGGCCATCCGTGAAAGGTGAGTGGAGGCAGTTTCCAAAACACGGGCCTCACCACGGACCCTCCCTCCCCCCTCTCCCCCTCCCCCTCCCTCCCTTCCCTCCTTCCCTCATCGGCCTGTCAGCAAACATTTCCTGAGCATCTACACGTGCTGCACACTCTCCTGACCTCTGTTGATAGCAAAGTGCTCTCGTGGAGGAGACACTCGTGGTCTGCATGGGCCTCAATCCCCAAGGTGAAATCCAATGTCGAGACATCACCTGGCAGCGGGGCAGGGAATTCATCCCTGGATGTCAGTGGGCTTCCCTGTCCGCAGGTGGCACAAGGGCCATGTCTAGGAGGCCCTGAACCATTTGGCAGCCACGCAGCTGTGACCTCGAGATGCCAATGGCCCCTATTAGCGCCACTCTGGGGTTCTAGCATCTAAGAGCCTTTGTGGGGTCCTGCCTCCCAGGGGGTGGCCCACTCTGAGCTCCAGGGCATTTCCACCTCAGCCCCTCGCCCTCATGGGTCCCTGAGGTAATCTCTCCTTGTCCTCATTCAGTGCCTGGATGTCACCAAGCCCTTTCGGAGACTTTTACTTAGTTTTCTTAATGAGCTTGAGCTTTTTCGAAAGTCAGGCAATGGACTGGGCCTTTATAAATTACACCCTCCCCCCAAAAAATAAATAAATTACCACCCCAGGAGATGGCCCTGCCCCCCACATCAGGGATGTAGAGAACCCCAAGGTGAAGTTGTGCCAGATTATTGAAGGGTGCTGAGGCAGAATTTCTCTCTCTCTCTTTAGTGCCCCCAAGGCCCCCCTACAGTCTTCAGGAAGTTTCTGTCAAGATACTAAAAAGTGAGATCTGCAGTCAGCAGTATCAGTTCCTCTTCTTGAAGGGCCAGAAGAAGTTCATCGGGAAAGATGTGCTGTGTGCCAGCTTAGAATGGGGCGCAGACTCTTGTCAGGTGCGAAGGGGGTGGCCCAGGGCAGGGAGGGGACTTTCAGGGGCCATGCCTTCCTTTAACGTGGCACTGGGAGGCCTCACACAGGTCTCCCTTCCCAGGGCTTCAGCTCCCCAGTCCGTAAAAGCAGGTGACAGTACTCTGCTGCTGACCACAAGAATGGTGGTGATAGCAGTACCTCCCAGGTCATTTGCACTTGTCTGAACATCAGTCAGTACATGCTTGGATCTGAGCCAGGTTCTGGCAGAACCAGTTTTGCATAAATGGCCTCATTCTATAAACACACTTCTGCCTCTTACATCTTCTGTTCAACATTGTTTTTTGAGATTTAGCCATAGTGATACGTGCAGCTAATTCATTAATCAGTTCTATCCACAATATTCACTTTGATGAATATGCCACAGTTCATCCTTTCTACAACATTGAAGTAGTTTCCAGTTTTTTCATATCACAGATTCTGCTCCTCTGAATATTCTTACACTCATTTCCCTATTGACATGCTCCAGAATTTTCCATGGGCTGCATCCTGCAAAGAACTGGTGGGTCAGAGGTTTGCATTATTTTACAAAAACCTGTATCATTGCCCTGGCCGGTTTGGCTCAGTGGATAGAGCGTTGGCCTGCAGACTGAAGGGTCCCGGGTTCGATACCGGTCAAGGGCATGTACCTCGGTTGCAGGCTCAATCCCTGGGCACATAGGGAAGGCAACCAATCGATGTGTCTCTCTCACATCAGGTTCTTTCTCTCTGTCTCTCCCGCTCCCTTCCACTCTCTAAAAATCAATGGGAAAAAATTCTCATGTGAGGATTAACCAAAAAATTTTATATCGTTTATATCTATAGCTATACAGAGAACCATTTTTTTTTCTAATTTACAAAACTTTTCAATGATACAGAAGAGTGTAAAACTTTTTAAATGATCATAAACCTGCCATCAAGAGAAATAACAGCAGTTACCTTTGGATTGATCGATGCTGTTGTAACATTGCTCTTATGTTTTGCACAAAAAGAGGAGGGGTTGGTGTGCATTTCCAGTGGCTCACTGTGCAAGCCAGGACTGCAGGAAAGAAAAAGGTCAGGACATCCCGTTGGAGGCCGCCCAAGATTTAGGGGAGTTTGAAGGAGACTGAAGGGAAAGGACAGCGAGGCTCCGAGCTTGGGCCCCAGCGTGGAGCTTCTATGTGCAGAGCAGGTTCCCAGCCAGGCCCACCATCAGGGACCTGATGCGCAGCTCACACTGAGGCCATGGCCTGGGGAAGGGCAAGTCCATGCCAGGCCTGCAGTGGACCCTCCCGCTGCCTCCCTGATGCTCCATCTTCCCCTCACAGGTTAACTCTGGCAGCTCCCTGGTCTGCCAAGTGAACAAGACGTGGGTCCAGATGGGGGTGGAGAGCTGGAGCTTCAGCTGTAAGCAGCACCACTTCCCCAACATCTACACCAGCACCTCCCACTTCACCCAATGGATCAAGCAGCAGATCACGGACGTCAAGTTCATCAGCAGGGCCCACCCTGCCTTCCTGAGCCCCGTCTTGTGCACTGGCTACATCCTGCTGGTCTCCCTGGGCTCCCTGTGGCTCCTGTGAGCAGCGTTTCCAGGGGTCATTCCGGGAGCTGGAGCTGAGGCTGCTTCTCCCTGCCCTCTGCCCGCCCTCAGAGAGGTGGGCCTGGAGGCGTGCAAGACACAGGGGCAGAGTGCCCTTGGGGGAGGGTCCCAAGCCACGGGCTTTCAGTTGTTCAATGAAGATGCTTTTGCACTTTTTGCCACTTGAAGTCATCATCTTTCTTCTTGATTCTGGCTGGAACCCTCAGAGGTAGCCCTTCCCCACCCCATCCCCACCCCAGGTCCCAAGGCCTTGGCCTGGGTCTCTGACCAAGGGCCTTCCTGCGAGGGTCAGTCTCTTCCCAAGACACACATCCCAGACCTGCCCTGTGGACCTTGTTTCAGAAACGGCCTCTCCCAGCCCCGAGTGTCCCCTGATTCTACAAAATCTGGCCCGTTTCTCTCTTCCCGCAGGGGTGGGTGATGGGGGGCAGAGCGCTGCCTGGGTGACGTGTGTGAGGGGATGCACACCAGCTGCCTCAGTGACCCCATCAGGCTCTGGAGAGGAGGACCGGCTGGCCCAAGCTGGCCTGGCTGAGGGCAGAGTCCCGCCCGAGTGGGGAGGGACGTGGGGTCCCTCAGACCTGGTGGGGCTCAGGCTCCGAGCGCACCCCCCCGAGCCCCTGGGCCCCAGGAAGGTGGTGGGTGTGACCTGCTGTCCTCAGAGACCGGGGCCTGGGTGGCCAGCCCGAGGTCGGTGCCCCGGCAGCAGTCGGAGCGTCCTGGCGTGGGTCCACGCTGGCCTTGCTTGTCTGAGGCCAGAATTTTCCAGCAGCTTTGAGCCGGTTTCTCACAGGCCTCCCCCCAGACCACATGGTCAATGTCTTCTCCATCTACGTCTGGAGCCATCAAAATGTTCCCGATTCCAACACAGGAAGTGGCCCTCTGCTCCCGGAGGCCTGTGGGTGCCGTCCCCGTGTGTGTGGAAACCCCACCCGAGCGCCGGTCCCGCGTGGATGGAGCTGCGGGGGCAGGAAGGGCCCTGGCCGAGCGCCGGGCGGCGGGCGGCGGGCGGAGGGCGGAGGGCGAGCGCTGCTCTGAACGGTGCGAGCTGTAAGGGTCTCGCTGAGCCTTTCCATCGGCTTCATTCCAGGAACCGGGCAAAGCCCACGCGGTCCCGTCCGCAAAGCCCACGCGGTCCGTCCGCAAAGCCCACGCGGTCCGGTCCGCAGGCTGGGGGAGGGGCCGCCTGGAACCCCGGGCATCGCCCCAGGGGAGGGATGAGGCCGAACCCCCCGCGGGCCGGTCGGTAGGAGGTGGGCGGCGGGTGCAGAGCCGGGAGGTGCGGGAACTGGCCCGGGAGCTGAGCGGCTGCAGACCATCCGGCCCAGGGGAGTGAGGCCGCCAGGCGGGGAGAGGCGGGACGCGAACCCGCACTGTTCCCAGCCCGTCAGGCAGGTGTGGGGAGGCCGCTGGG